GCCCCTCAGGTCCTGGGTTCATTGACTTTGTGCAACTTTCATACAAAGCACTTTTGTACTCTGTCTGTCATTCATCTCTTTTTAGAAGTATGGAGGAGCAGTGATTGATTATGGCTAGCGTGTTTTTGTTTTTGGAATTTTTTATTACTTTAAACAATTTTATATTATTATTTATATATATATTTTTTTTTAAGGAAAATCGAAGAATTTAATATTAAGTAAAACCTACTCTCAACTTTTTGATAGTGGTGTTCCCATCAACCCCTTTGTTTTTGTGTTTTTCTGCTGTTTTGCAGTGATTTATCATTGCTTTCATTAAAAGCTTGATTTTTTTTCATGGCATTTGGAGTTCATTTTAACTCGAATGACAAAAAACTTTGACCATTATATTACTGCTTATTTTGTTCGAGTACTGGGGTCTCTGTGTTTGGTTACTGTATAGGAAAATTGTGTTTTTTAGCATGTAGGCTTGTTATCATTGAGTTTTTGTTTTTTTGTGTTTTTTTCCCCTTTAAGCCCTGATGCACACTGGAAATTGACTGCAAACCATAGGATTGTTTATATAATTATTTGCTGTAAAATTCTGTAAAAACGGGTTTTGATTTCTTTTGTTTTTGTAGTACCATCATCTGCTTTCAGTTTTTGTGTTTGATCACGTTACAGAGAGTTCTTGATCAATATGTATAGATCTTCTCAAAGACTACAGTATGATGGATGGATGGATGGATGGATGGATGGATGGATGGATGGATGGATGGATGGATGGATGGATGGATGGATGGATGGATGGATGGACGGACGGACTGATGGACGGACGGATTGGAAGGCGGGCGGGCGGGTGGGTCGTTGGGTGAGTGGGTTGGATTTGTGGGTGGGTGGATAAATGGATGGATTTATGGATAAATAAATGCATGGATGGATGGATGAATTGATGGATAAATAAATGCGTTGATGGATGGATGGATATATGGATGGATGGGTAGATAAGGAAATGGGTAGTTCAAAAGTTTAGATTTTTGTGTTACTGGAGAGTTGGACTCACTTTAAGGATTAAATAACTGAATAAAATAATTGAATGCTGCCTAAAAAGCTCACCCATGTAGCTCTAAAGGGGGGCTGTGAGGTCCATACATAAGTGATAGTATGGGATTTATATTGTTGAATGCATTTTATTTGTGTTTTCTTTCTTTCTTTTTTTTCGTTCGTTTGTTCAGTTGTTCGTTCCTTCACTCACTCTTCCAATAAATTTGCTGCCACATTACTTTATGCGGGTGGTGCTTGTCAATTTTTTTGATTGAAAATTACTAGTATGGGATTTAAAGTGTTGAATGCATTTTATTTGTGCTTTCTTTTTTTCATTCGTTTGTTCGTTCGCCTGTTCGTTCGCTCACTCACTTTTCAAATAAATTTGCTGCCACATTCATTTTTAAAAGCAACTGATTTCTGTGTTGTCATACTTGAATTTTTAGTAGACATTATTCTATTTTTTTTATTTACGTAATCCTCTTGAAATGATTGTAATATGCTGATTTATTTGTTATTGAATGGTAGTTTAATATTTTTTAGAGATGACAGAAAGCAAATAGTTACAATACGCATTAAAAATAATGTATTAAAAGTCTTTGCTTCATTCAGATTCATATATTGTACTCTGACTATTCAGTATTTAACCCCAAATTATGCAAATTAGTTTACCACTCTTTGAATTCAATGTACAGAGAAGTTTTGAACGTTTATTAAAGTATAATGTTAATTAGCTATTGATGCTTATTACAAAACACAGAAATGAGCTTGAACAATCGGTCAAAGAGGAACCGTTTTACAGTACAGGCACATTACAGAACGGAATTTTGTACGACCTCTCCTCTACAATGTGCTGATTGTTAAACGGTTCTACTGTACGTATTCACCTCTCCTGTCACCTTTCTCTCCGTTTGTCCCTATTCATTTCCACATTCAGCTCTTCATCCCCACTGCTAATTAATCTGTCTGAACCATGTCGATTTAGTCCTAAAACGCAGACCGGCTCCGTTCAGGCGGGCAGTAATGTCCTAATAGAGCATCACGCTGGCTGAGTAGCACAGGAGGAAAGGGAAAAACAGCCACTGGCCTTTGTTTCCCTGTGATCTGCGAATTCCTCTTTTAGCACAGTCCTATTTACTGTGCTGTTATTTTGGAGAGGAGTGCACAGCGTGAGGCACAAATAATGACTGCATGTAAACACACACACACACACACACACACACACACACACACACACACACACACACACACACACACACACACACACCATCATCCCCCCTGTACATTTCCTGAGTCCTGTCTGTGTGCCGCTGCCATGTACTCACGCAGTTAAAGTGTTTCTCAGGAAGTGTGTTGTTGTAATTAGAGCCCAGGGGCAATCACCTCTGACGAAGCCAAATGGAGGAAAGAAAGTGCTTTTTTTCTGATGAGGTGAGCAAACTGCGCATCATATGGAAATGAAAGCTCTGGTTTACTTGCAGTGAAACTGAAGAACTTGCATGACGTTATTTCAGTTAACATCAGGCCAAAATGTAGTTCATTTGAAAGTTTGTTAAAGCACAGTTTCGACGTTTATTTCAGCTGGTGAACATCTTTAGACTATCATTGGTTTATGGTGAAATCTTTTTTAGTTGACACAAGTGAAACATGAGCAATCTGGATAACTGGTGTATAGTAGCTGAAGTTGTGTGTGTTTTTATTTTTTATTTTTTTTTTGTGATGAAAACAACACTCTGGGCTCTATTTTAATGATTTAGGCACAAAGTCTAAAGTGCATGGCTCAAAAGCATTAAGGGCCTATCTGAATCTGCTTTTGCTATTTTAGGACTAACAGGGATGTGCTTATTGTCTTAATAAGTTATGCTTGTGTTTTCAGCATAACGTGCATCAAACATATTAAACTTATCATCTCCCATTCCCTTTAAGAGTCAGTTGTGTCGTGCCATGGCACATTTGCTATTTACATGGCGGACTTTTTAGGTGGAAAAACTGAATGGAAAACATTAATACTTCACTAGAGAGAAAACAGTCAAACAGACCATCTTGCAGCATGAAGATAAAGAATGAGCCTCCTCTATTCAGCCTCTTTACTTTCTTTTTACTTTATTTTTACGCTACTTTACTCTTTTACTATTGTGCATAAGGAAACAATGGAAACTCACTCACTTAAACAATGTCTAAGCGTTTTTGACCTGCATAGTCACAAAACTAACGCAATCTGCGCTGGATTTTAGACCATGTATTATCTGGTCAATGGTGCTGTCTATTTCAGTTTCTCAAAATAGCAACGAGCCAACAATGCGCTTAACACACCTCCTTTATAGACGATACACCCGTTCACAAAGCGGTGCAAATGGATTTGCTATTTAAACAACATGAAAACTACTGTTGCGCTAGTGTGAAAATAGCAACAAATCGCACCATACACGTCTTGTGTCTTATTGCACCGGGTGTATGATAGGGCCCTAAGAGTGTTTTTTTATGTTTAGCACTGTAAATCTGTTAATTTGAAGCATCTCTTGTCTAAAAATGCTAAAATTCAACATGACCAACTTCACTTGACTGATTTTCATGCCACTGCCATCAATTTTTTTTTCTGAATGGTTGTTTTTGTTGTGTGTTTATTTTGCTTTTGAGAGGAAATCTTGCATATTTAAATAGTCAAGTCTGACCTGCGTTGGACTATTTGTTTACAGTACACCTTTCCAAATGTATTTCTATTTATTCCTAAGTAAAGAGCAAAATAGTTTGTTGTGACTGTACCAGGTTTTGCAGATGTTTGCATTTGATGTGAGAGTTTGGTTCAGACATACTGTATGCTGATAAAACATGTTCTGTTATGAAATAAATGCTGCAAGAACAAATTAAATTTTGACATTTAAAAATTTAGTTCAGATACGATTAACTATATAAATTAAGTTCTATATTAGCACTCAATTCAACCATGTAGATATTTAATCGGATGTATTAACTAAATTAGTTTATTTACAGTTTTTTTTTATTTTTAAGGAAAGATCAAAGTAATAAAACCTATTTAAATTTCTTCTTTTCAAGGGGGGTAGAATCAGGAAAGAGGAAACCGAGCTGGGTTTCGAATTTGGGATGCCCGCAGCACTTCCACACCTTACATTATGTCAGCATGTTCACCACTGGGCTATTGTGCTGAGAAAACCAAATCAAATTAGTGATACCAATTTTCCCATCAACTATTTAGCATGTTAGTTGATTTGCCGTGGTATTTATACTACTAATCATACTTTAATTCTTAGATGTAGTATACAGATGTACAGTAGTAATGTGTTATGGCATCTGAAGTTTATTTTCTACTTACAATGACACAAAAATGACCTATACCTCACTGTTTATGTGTTTGAGGTCTCTGTGATTGTATGTTATTTTCTTATCACACTTAAATAAGGTTTCATTAGTCTATGTCATGTAATGAACTAAGAATGAAAAGTAATTGTACAGCATTATTAATTATCAAACATTTAATAATGCATTAAAGAAAAGTTTTATTTCCAATAACCTAACCTAAACTTAACAAGGACGAATAAGTACTGTAGTAAATGTATTGTTCATTGATCAATCATGTTAGTAAATACATTAACGAATACAACATCATTGTAGTGTTATCTATTTTTTGCATTGTGTAGGCATATTATCATATAGTTTGTAATAATGAATCAAGTGTTGCTTATTAACTTACATATTTTAAGTAAAAAATACACTTTAGAAACATGACTTATAATTCAGGGCTGCATTTCTTGAGTCCAACTTACAAACAAAGACAAATGTATATTAACATTAAAACAGATTATTAAAAAATTCACTTCAAAAGAGAAAGCCAAAATTACTTAACAATCAATGTTACTGTTACAGTGCATACTATAACTTGGTTAATCAAATTTGCAATCAGTGCTTTGTGGATTATTTTATCATGACTAACTCATCCTTTACTTGTCTTTCTTTCCCAGATCGGGACTTCAGCATCCAGGTGACCACAGATCGCCGGGCCTACACGGCTGGTGAGCCGCTGGAGCTCCGCTGCACCATTGACGCTCAAAATGTTCCAGAGCGCTTCTTCTCGGTGTCGTGGGTCTTCAGCAGCTCACCCGTAGCCGTGATCGGGCCCAGCGCTGTGCCTGCTCTGGGACCCAACTACGTGGACCGGGAAGCTGCCGGCCTCCTGACTGTGCGCAAAGAAAGTCCATCTGTCCACCTCCTCAAGCTACAGCGCCTACTGCCTGAGGATTCTGGGAAATACATCTGCAGAGTGACAGAGCGGGAAAAGACCCTCACTGGAGATTTCATCGACCGCAGCAAACGCTCCCGCAACGTTCAGATCACTGTAACCCCGCTCAGTGAGTATCACATTCTCTATCGGCCCCCAGAGAAGTCAGCTGATATCTCTCAACGGCACACTTACTAAATGAGCAGATCAACCTGTCGGCCTCAGTCCTGATGTTCATCACATTAAGTGAATTATTCTGATGCTGTTTAGCTTATAAGCTGGCTGTTTTAAAAAGGAAATTGAGTTAGTAATATTATAGAGGTAAATGGATGAATGGAAATTTTGCTTATTGTTTTTAATGCTTTCTAAATCACTAAATGTATGCTCAGTATTGCTCCTTATTTTCATCAATGTTTTTCAGTTTTTGTGCCAGGTGTTCACTCACTGTGCAGACTCCTACTGTTAGACATAATGAGTAAACCGGAGGAAAAATAACAGTAGTGTGAAAGTAGTTCAGCTGTTTTTCAAAATAGTACAGCTTTTCCTGTAACGACTAGCAGTGCTGTTTGACACAACGCTACATCAGTTTTTGTCACATTGAGCATTTTAAGATTTTTATAACTGTCAAACGTCAGCTCATTATTTAAAACAACTGACAAGAAAAAACGTCGACATTTTGAAGGTTATTCTCTTTTTCTTTTTTCTAGATTTGACTAAACAGACATATGTGTGTTGAATAGTTCACACTAGTACATTTCTGTTTTAAAATAGCATTTTACAGCGAAAATGATCCACGTCCACACGTGCCAGTGGACACACACACAGAGTCGTTTCACCTAGCATTTCTGAACAGCTCTCCGTCAACACTATACTGCCGAAAAAGCACATCACAAGACCGCACACGCACTCTGGCATGTGCTGCAGCGTAGTGAGATTCAGGCAGTCAGCAGGTGCTTTGAGCACATCTACCCAGGTGTCATTGGACAGTTCATCAAGGATCTTCCGGCTGGATGCTATCTCACTATAGTTGTTAAACGTGATATTTAATTGATCTTGTCTCTGTCTAACGACTCTTCTGTCTTTTGAATCTGTTGCTTGTTTTTAGGTAAAGATAATATATTAATTTATGTAACCGCGTACACTGATTCTGCACATTTTACTGATTGCTTGCCTTTATTTCCTATATTGTATAAACTTATTATAAGTTATACTTTTACAATAGCCATTATTGCTTAGTAAACTAATATTTTGCAAAAGTGACGGTAGTTTTCATATTTTTTCAATGAAAATGAATACAGAGAAAGATCTTTTCACTGATAATTGTTTTTCAGCGTTTCAACAATTACAGCAGACATTTGATCTGTCGACTACCCATTTTTTAAAAATATCTACAAGCGCACAGTTTTCCCCAAAAGAATTTGATATAATTTCCTATTGAATCACCAACCTCCCTAGTAGAAAGTAGTAGTTTGCTTCTACAGCTTGTTTCTACAGAACCCATTTATGAAAGGAGCCATTTCAATTATATATAATAAATTATCTCAGTTAGAATGTGATGTTTCAACAGTGTAACATGAAATTAGCTCATTTTATGAATATTAATAATCAACAATAACAGTTTATTCTTAATTATTAATATTCCGGCTTAAGCTTCAGTCAATTTGGTCAAACAAACATATGATTGTAAATGATCATGCTCGCGCGACCAAGCGGATTCCCAGATTATGAATATTAATTATCAACAATAACGAATTATTATTAATCATTAATATTCCGAATCAATTTATTGTTACTTGACCAAACGAACACAAGCAGAGCCGCCGATCTTCCGAGCGGACACGGTAATCTATTCGTTTAGAAAAAGGGAATTTAATTGCTACTTCTTGTGAAGTAGATTATTCATTCAAAAGTTTTAAACAACTTATAATAGCTAGGCAGGGGAATCTGTATTTCAGTGACATTTTCTCGTGAGGCAAACAATACAATTCATTTGATTATAATGGAATTTATTGACTAGTCAGACGTAACGAACAAGCAAACGCACAAACATACATTAAACACAAAACAAAGGTAAACCACGTGGAGATATCGGGTCTATAGAAGGTGTAACAGCAAAGAGAAATAGTAAAGCTAGGAAATATAGATTTCAGATAAAAGAGTGACAAAACTTTTAGTTCCACAAGCACCATTACGGACCACCAAGGTTATAAAAAACACCTTTTTGATCAAAGGGGCACAGCTTAATCGCATAACTAAAATCACCTGGTCTTTCATGTCTGGAGGTCTCTTTTATGCGTCTCTCTTCCGTCGTGATGAAACTACTCTTGATGTCCTTCTTGATGCGTGGAGTTTGTAATGCAGTTCGGACGAACACGATCACAAACTTTAAACTGAGTTACTTTTGCCGGAAAATAAAGAAAACGTGGTGGGAAAGTCCATGCGGCTGTGAAGAGCCGTGTGGCCCTTAAAGGGACCACCGTCAATGATGTTCCTTTTTAGGACGTTCTCTCTCTGCCCAGATGTTTGGGGGGAAGTGTGCTTATACCTGCGGTTCACGTAACAACCCGTACAGCATTCTGACCAATGATTTCAGGGGAAAGTTTGCGCGCGAACCTTCCTTTGTCTCAGGGCTGCTCGTATGCAAATTTGAGTGTCCGCCTAAAGCATACGGACAGGCATTTAATGCAGGGCTTTAAAGAATAAAGCAATGCAAGTTATGGTCTTGCTCTATGCATCATGTGTTGTAAAATGTCAGCAGAAACCCATCGGTACCAAACATGGGGGGGTTTAAAGTACATCAACATAATTTTTCATATCCTTACAATATTTATGCTTTACAAAGGCCTAAAGGGAACATGCATACAGGTTATAAGAGAGGTTACACAGGTAAGAAAAGTCAGAAATGAGATACAAAGTTTACAAAACATAACACATTGGTTTTGTGCTGGTTCAGGATTTGATGAGTTCATTTTCTTTCTGTCGGAACAGCCTCGTGTGTGGGTGTGTGTGTGTGTGTGTGTGTGTGTGTGTATTTGGGCAGGAATATCTTTGAAGTTTTCCTGCTTATCTCTCCAGTCCCCCTGAACAACTTAAGCTGTCACGAAAATCCAGACTTCTTGGAGCCAGGAGTCGTAAAAACCTTCTGTCGACCAAAGCCAGACCGTGATAAAATCAATAAGAAATTTTATCTGTGGACTGTACGCTACAACAGAGCATCTCACAATGGCATGGAAAGAGGATCTTGGAGTAGAAATTGAAAACTGGCAATGGGAGGATGCACAAGAACAAGTTCATTCTAGTTCTGTGTGTATCAGCCATGGTTTATTACAATTAAAGATTCTGCACCGACTCCACGTGTCTAAATTAAAGCTCTCTAAGATGTTCCCCTTCTTAGACTCACTGTGTAATAGATGCAATCAAACCAAGGCATCATTTGGTCACATGTTTTGGATTTGTTCTAAAATTGTTAATTGTTGGATTTCAGTTTTAAAGTTAATATCAGAAGTGGTGGAAAAACAAGTACACCCTGGGCCTATTTTAGCTATATTTGGTGTTAGTGATGATGCGGAATTATCTAATAATCAACGTACAGTGATCAGATTTATAACCCTTTTGACACGTTTATTGATTTTACTAAATTGGAAATGAAAAGATTCTCCACGTTGCTCCACATTAATAAAAATGTCATGTCCTGTCTGCAACTTAAGAAGCTAAGGCTTTCTCTAAAAAATAAAACAAAGAATTTCCATGTAATAGGGAATCCATTTATTGAGTACTTTAACAATAATGCAGTGATTGAACCCTAGTAGAAACACCTCAAATATCCCCTTATATAGTTCTTTCATTAGTATTTTTTTGACCTTTTTTTCTTCTTCTTTCTGTTTTTTTCCCCCTCCACCCACTGTTTTTTTTAGTTCTCTTATACATATAATAGTAACATTATGTTACAACTTTGTGTTTAAAAGGAAAAAAAGTACACTGATGTAAAAGATACAATAAAGAGAATGTTAAAAAAGAAAATGAATACAGAATGCATATAAAAATGCAAACTGAGAAGATGACGATCATAGAAATATGTAGCTACATGACACCTTAACATATATGATGTCTGTTAAGCTGTTATTATCAAAATGAAAATAGGCTTCCTTATATCAATTTTATTTTTTTTATTGTTAGGAAATTTAAACAACATAGCCAGGGTGATGTGAATGACATTATAAAGTACACTGCTCCCCTTGAAGATTTAGCCGACGTGTCCTCAGGAGTATGTATTCCACATCAAATTTGCGAATTATGAACTTAAGGAAGGGTGCAAGACTAAAATTTGTGCACTTAATATTGAGAAAAGCCCCAATCAGATCTTTTGAGATGTCTCAGTTTTTCCCCATTGACACTGACACACAGCAACAGCGTTTCAAAAGCAAAATGGCCTCTTCAGCATTTCCAAAACGCTCCGTTTTCAGGGCTTAAAAAACTCAGAGGTAGTGTGGACGGATGACATAACCGTAGCAAAACTTATGCATTTTAAAACTAAAATATTAGTGTAAACGGGGCCTAAAACACCATCAAATCTGTATAGATGTTTATATGACTAATAAAACTGAGATATTTAGAATTTATTATTGACCTAATAATAATTTTATTTATTTGACCTATTCAACAAAGCAGCATTTTTTAAGTTATGGAGCTTATATAGTTGAAATCCTAAAATTATTTGCCCTCTTGTGTTTTTTTTTTCATAGTCTTTTTTGTTTTTGTTTTTTTTGCTCTGATACTCTGATAGTATTTTCTGTAATATTTTTTTCTACTGGAGAAAGTCTTATTTGTTTTATTTTGGCTAGAGTAAAATAAGTTTTTTTAATTGTATACAGAACAAACGTTTGAGGTTGCAGAAGTAACCCTTTGTTCCCCGAGGAGGGGAACGGAAGTGCTATAAGTGGATTTGATGTTAAAATCCACGTATGGGAGTATTCGGTTCAGAAGCCGCTTGTCTGAAAGAGTATTGAACAGGCCAATGAAAGCAATGAATTGGCAGCGTAAGCTTGCGCAGGTGTGCTGCACTGCCAATTAATTTAGCATATAAGCACACCTGGTGCCAGCAAACGCCATCCTTTTCGCTTCAGAGACTTT